TTTTTTTCCTGGGTCTGTCACACAATTGTGTGTGTTAATCAAACAGATTTTTGGACACAGCCGTCAGCTCCAATGTGGGTCTGGTTTCTCTTCTCTTCTTTCTGCCTTCAGTTCAGTGTTCTGGTGGTTTCTTGTTAAATTCCCCAAAGATGATGATACAAAGTGGCACAGGGAGGGAGGGGAAGTTGTATATTATATACTTTTTTTCCTGGGTCTGTCACACAATTGTGTGTGTTAATCAAACAGATTTTTGGACACAGCCGTCAGCTCCAATGTGGGTCTGGTTTCTCTTCTCTTCTTTCTGCCTTCAGTTCAGTGTTCTGGTGGTTTCTTGTTAAATTCCCCAAAGATGATGATACAAAGTGGCACAGGGAGGGAGGGGAAGTTGTATATTATATACATACGTACATACACACACACAGACACACAGACATATAGATAGATAGATATAAATCTCAACAAGGCACAGCAGTGGGTGTATAGCTTCTTTTTCTTCTTTCCCCTTGGGTTATTTTAGCCTAGTGTCTCCAACTCTCTCCTCCTCTGGGGGGCAATCTGGACCTTCCACACCCGCATTCCTCCCAAAGCAAATGTTCACAACTGGAAAGAGAAAGAGAATTGCTGTGAGGGTGACACACTTCGCAAGGAAATGCTATGATTCAGCGTGACAGCAGCAGAGCCCGCTTCCGAACACACGACTGAGATTTCAGGTCTACATTAGGGAAGGATAAGGAGGAGTGGAGGGAAAGGCGAGGAAGAAGCAGGGAGGGAGGGAAGACACCGCACCTCTAAAAATTCAGCTCCCGTGCACAGTGACTGAGACGCAGGCTTTGCAGCTAGTGGTCTGGAGGCAGCTCCCTCCTCCACAGCTGCCACAAAAGGGCTCCTAGCGCTGCCTCGATAGGGACCTACCTGTGCTTTAAGCTGCAAAAGGGCTGCAACGAACCACTGGTGCACAAGCAAACTTCCACTGCGGCTCTAATGCAAAGCAGGAGCAGCCCTGGTGCCTGCCTCTCCACCGCCTCCTCCCCGGGAAGCTGCTGCAGCTCCATCTACAGCCATCCAGCATCTCAAGCCAGCCCCTTTGGATGGAGGCCCTGAGCAGCAGCAACATGAGACAAAAATAAACTCTACCCACCCCCGGCTTCAGCGCACAGCCCGGCGCGGGGTGGCTTCGGGTCCCCCCCCC